TCGGTGGATTTATAAGATAAATTTGATAAATTCGGTGAATTTATAGGATAAATTTGATAAATTCGACAAGTTTATAAGATAAATTTGATAAATTCGATACCACCTAAAAAAATATGAGATTTTTTATTTGATAGATTAAATTGATGAAAATAAAATGGATCAATGATTTGTTGCTAATCAATGATTGTGTCTGTTGATGATCCAATAGTAACAATTATTTTTTATATGATTGTTTCGAAAATTTAAATGATTCTAAAGGTGATTCGAATAATTTACAAAATTAAATTATATATTGGTAAAATATACAATTTTAATATTTATTTAATAAAACTCCTGGAGAAGATGGATTTCGGGTCGAATTCTTCAAATGTTGTTCATAACTAACTCTCTGGTATGGCAAAGGTAAATAGTGCTAAAAAACTGAAGCAAAACAATTCTGCTTCCAATTCATAAGAAAAGGACAGGATCTATTGCGACTGTTGTCCAGGAATCAGCCTATTAGACCAGTCTCAGCGAAGATCTTTGCTTTTCTTTTACTTAATAGACTTATTGAAGTACGGGACAGCAGGATGCTCCCTAATCAAGCAGGATTCAGACCGGGGCGCGATATGCTAACCAGAGTGCTCGTTTCAAATGCCAGAAACCACTTGATTTATCAATTTTGCGCTTTGATTCGCTTGAACAGCGCTTTAGACGTAATGCGTAGTGTGACGATATACAAGAGATCATTCGGCTCATAAAGGTATTTTGTCAGCATGCCTTGGCACATGTATGCGGAACTGACAGAATCCTTCGAAATAAGAACTGCTGTCCGTTAAGATTATGTTCTTCCCATTCAACTATGCGAGAGACTGGATAACGCATATCGCTTGTCGGCATTCAGGAGGTACAAATTAGTCCAGAGTATAGCATCACAGACCTTGAATACGTTGGTGATGTGGTCTTTTTTGCTAACAGTTATAAGGAAATTCAAATAATATTAAACGTCAACAACAACTTCAGGAAGAATTATACTCAAAATCAATGTGAGTGAAATTGAATGAAACGAAATTGTTTTCGTCTTATACGTAAGATGCTGATAAAATGCCTATTTATCAATTCATTATCAGTTGAGGAAGTATTTGACTTTAAATACTTTGGATCCACTCTAATCCCAAATAGCCAGGCAAAGGATGAATTATAACCCGAACAACGACAGCTAAAAATGTAATTTTCCGGTTGATGAAACCTTTATGGAATCATCGTGAAATCACCATAGAGACGGAAATCTGCGTCCATATAGCTACAATTCACTCGATTTTGCTATTTGACTGCGAAACTATGGCCAATGAGAATGGAAGATATTAAGAAGCTATCAATCTTTGACCACTCAGATGTCTAAGATTTTAAGGATCCGTCGAGCGGATAAAATCGCACATGACTGTATTCATCGTCGCTCAATTACCACCTATATTAATAATGTTATCACAAAGTGTCGCCTTCGCTAATTAGGGCACATTCTCCATCGTTCACCACAGGAGTTGACGCATATTTCTTTACTTGCTAAGCCTTGTGATGGTTGGGGTCAAAAGCGAGGAAGGCCAGTCAAAACCTAGACTGATAATATGGATTTAGACGATGGAAATAGAAATAGCTTCTGTTACTACTAGCGATGATATAAGACCGAGCAGCTTGGAGATGTCTTATTCTTGTAGCCAGCGTAGCCAGTATTGATGAGCGTTATTAGAAGAATAAGAATATCGATATTTATCGATATTTGAATATTAATTTTAAAAATTGATAGGAAATCTTCAGAGCTTTTAATTTTTTCTCAGAAATTTTAGAAATAAGCATAAATCTGTATAACATATATCCACCAACTTTGGCAGTTTTATTGTATAAGACGATATTCTTGGAATGTCTTGCAAATATAAATATAAGTAGAATATATATAAGTAGATATAAGTAGAACATTATACAAAATCTTCTTATTAGAAATTTTGTGTGGTTGATTTTTAGCTAAGCCGCACACTCGGTTGGTTACTGATTAATTTATCAAATTTCATTTAGATTTCAACTTTTATCTATTATCTATTTTTTTCTTGTAATAAACTTCCTTTAAAGAAAGATGTGGATCTCTTATTTGGTAGTTTTGTTGCTTGGGAGATGAAGATTACCTGTTATCAGTATTATTTTTCTATTCACATTCAAACAAGTCAACCATGGTTCACTTAATTAGATTTGGAAGGGATGCTTACTTTTGTCGAAAATCAACATCCCATGCTTATTTTATTTTTAAACATTCGAATGTGTTCATGTATGTCATTAAATTCAACATGTGGTTCTTGGTTATTTCGGTCATGTTTTTTCTTTCAAGAGATTCTAAAGTTAACTTCCCATGTTTTTTTTTGAAATTATTTTAAGAATAACTTTTTGAGGTTTAGATCTAATCTGTGATGGTCAAAAAAAATTTTTACTTTTTTTATGGCTAAATTTTCAGCTTTCTTGCTCGTAAAACTGATTTTTATGTTGGAGCTGGAATCGATCGTGCTAGAGAGATGGTTTTACAGTCATTCGACAAACACAGTTTAGCAGCCAAAAAAGTATTTTTAATTTTTCTATTTTTTCATAGAAAACTAATCTTGTTATTAATTTCGTGATTTTCTCATTTACTATTTTGTTCGAGTTTGGTTTTCAATACAATTTATTTAAAAAAATTTATTAAAAAAGTAATAAATTAACAAATTTATTAAATTTAGGCGGCTGAAGAGTTAGAGAAAAAAAAAGCTTATGAAGAAAAGCGTTTGGAGGAAAGGCGCGCTGCGCAAAAAGCTAAAGAAGTAAAGCATATGCATATTATTAAAGAAATTTCTTTTTTATATTCATAATATTTTTTTCGAAAATAGTAGTCTATATCGTTTTTAAATATTTAAAAATTTGAAAAAATAAAATTTTAATTGTTTATAAAAAATTGGACTGAATAAATGTTCCGTTTTTTATTCTGATTCAATAGGAAGCTGAATTATTGGAGCCAAAAATTCAAGAGATAACGGACGAAGAAGCTGAGCGAATAATGGCGAATGGAAATAACCAAGAACAACCATCGAATTCTAGTTTATTTTTTATTAGATTTTTATATCTTTGTTATCATAAATGAATCTGATTTTTCCAAATGTATATCTACAAATCTTTTAATCCAAGCATTTATTCAAGGCGACATTAAAGAAGCTAAAGAGAATAACGATGAAGAAGAAGATGATGAAGAAGATAAGGGGAAATTGAAGCCTAATGCTGGTAACGGCTGTGATCTTGATGCATATCAATGGACTCAAACACTTGGTGAAATTGAGGTAAATTTGTAAAAAATTCTTTTTCTTTTTTCTTTAGAATTCTTTAACGATTAGAAAAAATGAATAATTCAATTTAATGTATTTTAAATGTATTCATTATTAAAGGTGCGAGTACCGCTACGAGTAGGATTTCCTATCAAAGCAAAGGATGTCTTTGTCGAAATTCGCAAGGATAATTTGAAAGTAGCAGTAAAGGTCGTTTATTACAATATTTGTTATATTGCATATTTGTTATAATCGTACGATTTTTGAGTCGATGAATATAATGTATAATTTCAATTTTTCAGGGACATGCTCCAGTTATTGATGGAAAACTGAGAGCAAGTATCAAAACAGAGAGCGCAACATGGGTGATTGAGGATAAAAAGGCGGTTATCCTGAATTTCGAAAAGGTTTTCTATGAAATTTTCAATGAATATAGATGAAATATTATTTTCAGTTTATATCCTGTTTTGATTGAATTTTTTATCGAAGAAATTTTGTAATATAATATATTAAGTGTAATAATATGGAATGGTGGAACAAGCTGATGGAAAATGATCCAGAAATCAATACGAAAAAAGTGAAACCTGAAAATTCTAAACTATCTGATTTGGATGGAGAAATGAGGCAAATGGTTGAGAAGGTCAGTCGTGAATTTTGATCTTGTTAGGTTTTTCAGGCATGCAAAAATTTGATTTTATAAATTGCTTTAGATGATGTACGATCAACGACAAAAAGAACTTGGATTGCCAACATCTGAAGAAAAAAAGAAACAGGATATTTTAAAGAAGTAAGTGGATTTTTTTATTTATTATTGTCGTTTTTCAAGTCATATTTATTGGTATTAATTGGTGATTCGGTTATTATTTTTTATCAGGTTCATGGAACAACATCCAGAAATGGACTTTTCACAAGCAAAATTCTCGTAAATTATTTGAATATCAGTGAAATTATGCCGCTATATAGCTGACTTAATATGAATATTTAATATGAATGAATATTTTGTGATTTTCAGTATTTTTTTATCACTTGGATTTTACATCATTTGATTTTTGTTACTTTTTTTATTCATTAATGATGCTTTATGCTTTCCGAATATGGAATAAAAATCTTCTTACAAATGATGTTTCAGTGATCTGCACATTTATCAGTAAAATATTTGCCATTGATAATTTTTCATCAATTATAAAATAAAAAAAGATCGAACTTTCACTATTTCACTCTAAAAGAAAGTACTAAGATTTCATATTAAAAAATATTTTAAATGTTTGCAACTTGGTTTTTTTGATATTTTTTATCTGGTATTGATGTTACATTTTTACATTTCTCATCAAATTGCAAATTTATTTCCAAGCTTGAAAAAAAAAATTTGAAAATTTGAAAAAAATTTAATTTTGTTGTTGGCATTTTATGTACTGGGCGAAATAAAAGTTTTTTAGGTTAGTGTGATAAGGATCAGTGGTGTAATCGAGGATGATCAAAGCAATCTTGGTGTTCAATAATCATGGAAAGCCACGTTTACTTAAGTTCTATCAGCATTATGTATGTTTTTTGGCTAAGGAATTCTAAAAGTTATTTTTATTTATTTTTGGAGTCTCCATTGTTACTGGTTAAACTCGCTCCTCTGGCTTGTCGCACTGGACAGATATACAGGGAGTTCCTTGGTAAACGTACAGGTGAGTGGCCAGCATTACCCAGATTTTTTGACAATTTTACTCCTGCGGGGAATCGAACCTAAGCGTCGGTACTTCAAATTGAGGAACAACCCACTGAATCATTTACCATTATTTTTTGTTTATTAGTAATAAATATTAAAGATTTTCAGTCTGAAGAAAAGCAACAGCATATCGTACGCGAAATATTTCAACTTGTTTCAAAGCGTGACGATAATGTATGCAATTTTTTAGAAGGAGTTTCATTAATTGGTGGATCCGATTATAAACTTATATATCGTCATTATGCTACTTTATATTTTGTATTTTGTGCAGATTCATCTGAAAGTGAATTAGGCATACTCGATCTTATTCAGGCAATTTCAGTTTTTGGGTTTTTTTATGAGTGATAAAAAAGGAAAATAATGCTATTGCTGATGTTAATTATTATTTTTATTATTTTTGTCCAAAATAGTTTCTTAGAACGAAAATTATATTGCTAAAGATCATAGTTTTTTATCAAAATTAGAAAAAATATATATTTGTATATATATATTTCATTGACTGAATTCCAGGTATTCGTAGAAACATTAGATCGTTGTTTTGAAAATGTTTGCGAATTAGACCTTATTTTTCATGTTGATAAGGTAAATTATTTTTGATAATCCTTTTTTATCAGACCTTGCATTGATAATTAAGATTGGCTTATCAATATTTGAAAGGAAATTGGCGAAGTTATTGATTGTGTGGGTAATAATTCAGTTATAAATTCTGTGTATGTTTTAGATTGTAATTTTAGGTTCATCATATTCTTAATGAATTAGTAATGGGAGGCATGGTGCTGGAAACGAATATGAATGAAATCCTTTTAAGGGTACAGGAACAAGAAAAACTGGAAAAACAAGAGGTAGATTTTTTCTTGCATTGAAATTAATGAATTTAATATTATTAGGTGCAAATGAATTTCGATCCATTGGCACCGTGCGCTATTTTGGCATTTGCCAAGCTATTTTATTTTCTCTTATCACCAGTTTTTTCTTATATTCAAAACCCAATCATGTCAATTAATTGTTCAATTTATACCTGTAAAATTCTTTTTTGGTTTTATAATTTATAGCTCCAGCTGTTTAAAAATTGGATTGGTAGAGTTACCAAAGAACTCACGAATTTGTAGATTTTAAGGGAATATTTAATAGGATTTGGGATTCGAAAATTTGGGAGTTTTTTGGAAGTATGAAAAAGTTTGGTATTCAATTTAGTCATTTTACCAATTGCAATGTCTACTCCATACCTTAATAAAGTAATTTATAATTTTCCTTTTTCGTTTTTAAGTAGTTGTGGAAAAATATGTTGATATGTCGAATACTTGATTCTGTGCATAAAATTTGAATGAATTTAGGCAGGAATCGCTGCGGCTCCTGCTCGAGCTGTCAATGCAGTCAAAAATATTAATATTCCTCAACAGATCAAGGATTTCAAGTTGACAGATTTGAATCTTCCCAATTTTAAAAGTCCTTTTTGAATTTATACTATATCCTTGTTCCAATATTTATAAATATATTTCAGCATTTTTTTCTTAATTCACTTGAAATCAGTTAAATGTATTGGTTCTCGAACTTTGTAATGTTTTTTTGTTCATGTCAATGTCAATTTCATTTATCTGGTATATGGATTTGTTATTTTATCGTTAATTCGTGAATTTTTGCCAAATTTGTGTGGTTTTACAAGCGTGACCTGCGTTGATAGGATCACTTTCGTTTTTGATTTGGTGAGTTCATGCTTATCTAACTATGTACCACATTTCTGGGTGGACTTGAACGGGAAGACGGTTATTTAAGGTCTAATACCGTCACTGGAAATCTTCGTTCCAGCGATATATTGGCGTAAGGATCGGAAGCAACTGTCGCTTTTATATTGCGATTCTTGGCAATGGATGGAAATAAGGAGTGAATTCGTCGGAACTCGGAGAATTAATGGAGGTTCGAGTAGATAAGTAGGCAAAAAAAGACTTTCAAATAACAAATTAAACTCGCAAAAATTTGTTTTATTTATGTGCGTATATATAATAAAATCATTCTCGAATAAAATATTATTGATTGCTAAATATATCAAAAAATTTTTTTAGTTATCATCTGATAAACTTCATTTTTTTTTTTGTTAATCTGAATGATAAAATGCGTAAAATCTTCGTGAACCTCAAGAATATTCCTTTTATAGGAAATCAGTGGGGAAAACACTTCTTTCATAGAAGCCCGTTGCGATAAAAGTTGAAATCGTGTGAGATGGAAGCATCATCATTGCAGCAAATGCGATTCACCTAGCAGGGGGTCCGCGGAGAATTTATTTCTTTTATAGGGGATCGGTGCGAAATCGAGTGGAGTTACCTTTATTCAAATATGATCAATTTAGCCAGTAGTGATGGTGAATATTATTGGAAAAAGGCTTGAAATGGCTTGTCGGTGTTTTAAACACGCATAAACCAGCAAAATTTTCATGAATGAAAATTGTGTTTATGTGGTTCGCATTTTTGGTTATACCGTTCGCTGCACCGTCTATTAGTGTTAGATAATTTCTGGTAACAGAAAGTGGGAATAAAAAGAGGTGTATGGATGAATTCTCAGCATTTTGCTAGGTTTTTCAATTCTACTGGATGGAAATTATATATGCTTGAGGCGATGATTTGCTGATCCACTCGGATTTACATTTTATTAGAGTGATTATTAAAATTTAAGGCGATTTATGGGTATTTTGTTTTATCATTTAATAATTCTTCAAATTTTTTTGTTTTTATTAGGTAAATATTTAAATTTTATTTTAATTAATCGAAATTCTTCTTTAAACTTTTTATAATTTTTTAGATTTTTTTTTATATACAATATTAAAGCGTTTAATTTTATTTTAAATATTTTAAATTAATTTTGTAAATTTTTAATTTTATTTTTTATGCTATGGAAAAATTGATAATTATTTTGGAAATTTTATTATCATTTATCATTTTATGTGCATTATGTTATGGTAAAATTCATTATAAAAATGAAAGACATTTACAAAATGTTCGTCAGTTGACGTTTGGTGGTCAAAATGCTGAAGGATATTTCAGGTAAATTGAAAAAATTTCTGCAAAAAATCTCTATGGTGTTTTGTCCACGTCGCAATGCAGTGTGGCTTTAGCTTTTGGACAAATAGCTCAGTCCAATCTGCCGAGTTCAGAATTCATTTTTAGCCTTCTAACATTAAAATATATAATAATAATTTGTGGATTACTAAAATTTTTCCATATAATCGATGCTTTCAATATAATTAACGAATGATATAGGCGAATGGCGAATCCAATGGCTAGGCTTAGCAAAGTGAGAAGCAAGAGTTCGACCTTCTGCAAGAGTAAATCTGTCATTAAAAATTCCTGGTTATACGAGCAACTCACCTGTTTTTCTATCGCCAAATGATAACTATCTAACCGTATCAACTATCATATGGTAAATAGTGAATGTTGACTATATCAATTTTTTATTTGCAGTTTTGACGGGAATTGGATCACTCTTCAAGCAACCGGCAAAGAAATTTATGGAACTAGCTGTGATCAGGTAAGGTACATTTTCATTTTTCCAATTCTCAGAAAAAGGTAGCGTTTAAATTTGTCGACTTTCATAAATATTATAAAATTTTTTAACAGATATATCGAATTGATTTAAGACGTCCACCAAGCGAACAAATACCAAATCGAATAAGTACAGGTTTTGATTTTTTTAAATATTTTAATATAAAAATAATAAAAATAAATATTAAATATAAAAATATTAAATTTATTATTTTAAAATTTTTAAGGATAAGGAAATGTAGTTCTTTAATCAATTCGATTAGACTGTTATTCTAAATATTCGATATTCTAAAATTTTTTAAAATATATAAATTTTTTTTTAGGAATTGGTACCTGTACTTGCTCGTATTTTTATCCCGATGATAAGCATTTGATTTACGCGGGTACATTTCTTAATGCAAATTTTAGTTCAACTATAACGTTGGAGAGTTGTCCACAGAAGGTATGTCAATCGGAACGTGCAAAAACTGATCCGATTCTCAAGCAGTTATGTGTGTTTTTTTTTTTGTCATGTGGTTTATTATTTATTTCAATTTTTTTTCCTAATCTAATAAAAATTAGTCGAAAAAATAGAAATTCATTTCGATTTGTGACAAGAAATCTTCTTGAATTGATGTGTCCTTAGGTGATCATTAATAATATTTGTGGTACTTTTTCCAGGTAATACGAGTTATACTTGGGACTTATTTCCGGAATACGATATTTTTAAGGTAAGAGGCATATATCCACATTGATTAGTGTATTGATGGCTTATTTATTATATAGGCGACTGATTACTATGCGGTGCAGCTATCGCATTTCAGATTGAGTGGTGCATCGGTATTTATTTTATTTTATGCAAAGGTGAAAAAATTTGGCAAGATTTATATGAAAATAGGCTATTAGTGAGGATTTCTCCAAAGAGGTCGTTTATTATACCAACTCGACTTTGACGAATTCTAGATCTTTGATTTATGAAAATACATTCTTATAAATATTCTAGGATAAAGTTGTTTTAAGATATTTCAATTTGGTTCATTTTCTAATGTGGTTTTAGGTTAATGAATTTGGTAACGTGGTTGCACAACTCACAAATACTCCTGGATATGATGCAGAAGGAGCTGTATCACCTGATGGACGCCATATTGTTTTTACCTCATTACGAAGCGGTGACCCTGAAATCTGGATTATGGATTCAGATGGAAAAAATCCGCGACAGGTCTTCGTCAAAAAAAAATTAATTAATAAATATATTGTAGAGTTTTTCAGTCAAAAGCCCAAATCGAATAAAAAAACGATACTTCTTTTTTTTTTTACAGCTCACCAATGAACTCGGTTATGATGGTGGACCATTTTTCAGTCCTGATGGTAGAAAAATCTCGTTTCGTGCTTCTCGTCCGAGAACAGAACAAGAAATTGCTAAGTATAAGGCTTTATTAAGGTGACGATTTTGTATGTTTTATAATAATATTTAAAATTATTTGCTATCATTTTTATACCAATGCATTAGAACCGTGGATTTCTATAATAAACCATTCAATATTTGTTTTAAAGCTATAATCTGGTTTCTCCGCTTGAAATGGAACTGTATACGATTAATACTGATGGAAGTGGTCTGCGTCAAATCACTTCACTTGGTGGCTCTAATTGGGCTCCATTCTATCATACCGATAATCGTCGCATAATATTCAGTACAAATTTCAATCAAACCACTCATTTCGGTGCTTTTGATCTATATATGGTTGATGAATCGGGTTCAAATCTTGAACGGGTTTTTCTCATCATTTTTACTTCAAAATCTTCATTTTACTGATGTACTATACTGATAAAATTATGATTAGAAGAGTTCATTTTAGCCTTTCAGATATTATAAGTTCATAAAATTTTGATGATTGAATTCCAGATTATCCTTTATCACTTTATCATCGCCATTAATAATTCATCTTTTATCATTAGCAGTTTATTTTAGATGAATGATTGAATTTGATAGAATATTTGATCAGTTGTTGAATTTTCAAATTTTATTAGATTTAAATGATATGACTTTTTGAAATTTTATAAATTCTATAGTGTTTTAGTTAAGAAATTTTCTGTTGAATAATTTCTTTAATTTGATTTAATTAATTTATTATTAATTAATTTTAAATAATTTATTAATTATTAATTAATTGTTTAATTTTGCAAATATTTATTTTATAAATTGAGAAACAAATTTAGATAACATATAATGATGGTGGTTTCGATGCTTTTCCAATGTTTGATCGTAAAGGAGAACGACTTATTTGGGGAAGCAGTAGAAATGGGAAACAACCGTATGAACTTAATCTTTTCATCGCTGATTGGATTGATTCCAACGTTTCTTCTCGTAATGAACATTTTACAAAAGTATTTTTTATCGTATAAATTCAATATCCATTTCATAAGGTGTTGTTATTTAAGGTTCAAAATTGGCTTTGGTTCATCATGGGGCCTTCTAGGGGTTTTCTGCGTTTTTGCTGGATTCTTTTGTTTATTATTTCAGTATTATCAGTAGATTTATTAGATTTATTACCAGTAAATTTGTCATCAGTGGATTAGTTATTAAGATTGCTTTTAGAATTTCAATTATATTATATAATAATATTAATAGTAATATTCGAGGCTTTGAATTGGTCAGAAAAAGAATTTAATATTGAAAATCCTATTCAAATAACATTTTTCGACGATAATTTGAATGGCCATTTCAGGTAGTTCATTTATTTTTATTTTTTTAAAAGGAAAAGATCAAATAGAATATTTTAGCGTTTGACTGCAAAGATAAGATGTTTCCAAGCCACTCGATTCGATGCTATTTCTCCGAGTAACAAGAGACTACTACTTTTTCCATATATTATTAGATAATTCGTACATTGAAAATCTCCTCTGATTGTCCAGGTTTTGATTGGTTCTCCGCGCTTTTTGCATCATCAATTATAGGATTTTAGTTAACAACGAGATATATATCGAATGTTGACGAAAAATATAGCCTAATTAGCATGAGCGACGGAAAAACAAGCATTAATTAACGGTGTTTAAACGTTGATACATGCAATCATGTAAAATTATATACGTTCAAACAAGCACATAATATAAATTATGGCCTTTGGCTAATAGTTAAAGGCCTTTGGCTGATGGTCTTTGCATAATTTATGCTCATATTTGCCAGACTGGATGGCGTACATTACAGCCAGATTTGAATATTCGAAGGTTTCGCTTCTTTAGTTGATTTAATAATTTTTGCTTACTAATTCACTAATTTTTCAGTTTAGATAAAAATTCAAGATTTAATATTTAAAGAAATCTTATTATAGGCATATTTATATAAAAAAATTAACGCTAAGAATTTTAATAAACTCGAAAAAAACATTTAAAAATGGATCATATTATTCGCTATTTTTTTTCGACTTTTTCTATTTATTTTTTTACTTATTTTTTTCAAAAATTATTTGACTTTTTCGAGATATGCTTTGGTAAAATTTTTATTCTTATTGCCTAACTAAAAATAATTGGAAAAATTTTTAAAAATTTTCAGTTTCGATAATAAACGTTTAATATACGAAGCAAAAGGTAACGAGAAATATGAAACTCACTGTAACCAGGTTTTATAAAGATTCTTGTTTGGCATATACTATAGTACCGTTAGGTTTAGTAACGCTGGCACTAGTGTAGTACCATTTATTGTGGATTAAATCTTTCGTTTACTCACAATTCTTAATTCTATAGAATTGAATTTGAATTGAATTGAATCGACTAAGATAAACATGAAGTATTATTCTGATTATAAGTGATTTCAGATTTATGCGTTGAATTTGCTCGATCCAAATCAAATTCCACAGCGTATTAGTACTGGTTGGTCTATATTGCTTTATATTAACGCAATATCCATAGTATAATTCAATGAAATCAATTTTATTGAATTTTCAGGAATTGGCTCAAATTTAAGCCCATCTTTCTTTCCAAATGGTGATGGTGTTTATGCAAGCACATTTTTAAGCGTTAATCGTTCACTTACTAATAGCTGTCCTAGAAGTGTGTGTTTAAATCCAGCTGAATTTCGTTTGCTAAAAATTTGTTAGTTATTAGTGAATTTTTAAAAATTCCACTATTTCACTTTTTTCCATCTTATTTTTTTTTATAATAAAATTTGAAAATTTGGCTTATAAAAATTTAATATTTATTGAAAATAAATTTTTCTACTAGAAATTGATCTATGAATTTTTTTTAAACAACGATTCTTGGCTTAGAATCTATTAAATTAAAATTTTAGGCGAAAAATTTTCTATAATCGATTTGTTCGTTGATTATGATATTTATAAGGTGAACAAATTCGGAAATTTTATTGCAAAACTTACCAATACATCAGGTAATTTCGTCATTTGAAGCATATTTTTAAAAAAGTTTAACACCAATAAAATTTAGAGAGTTTAGTCGTAAAATTAGAAAAATTTGATTATTGAGGATACGACGGAGATGCAAATATATCACCGAATGGGAATCTGATTGCTTTTACATCAAAACGTAGTGGCAATTATGAGATATGGATTATGAATTCAGATGGATCCACTCCTAAAAAGGTCTTAAGTTTTGCATTAGTTATGCGCTAATTTCAGTCAAACATTGTATCATTGAGAAAATGATTAAAAATTGATTGATTTTGAATCGATCCCAGTGATAATGTTGATAAGCTTAAGGCTGACTGATGAATTGTTAGAATTATAAATTTAATGTCTTTTCATTAACGCGAATTTGTTTCACCTTTTAACTTTGATAAAATACCTTTATCATGTGGCGTATTTTTTTCTTCTGATATCGCACACATTTTCTGGTTTATTTTTTTTGGCTTTAGGCTTTTTTTAACCATTACATCCCCTTTTGCGAGGATTCATGGAGATAAAAATAAATTGACATTGTATGTGAATGCTGAGTGACATATTTAGGTCACATCAACATTTGGATACAGCGGAAAGCCTTCATTCAATCGTGATGGTACTAAAATAGTTTTTCAGTCTTATCAGCCGAAAACATTTAAAGAAAAGAGACATTATAAATATCTTTTAAGGCAAGTTTTTTCCCATTTTTATCCCATCCCATCCCATTATTAATTTTTATTTAATTAATTTTCCATGCCATTTTCTAAATTTTATTTCGCTTAAATATAGACAAAAATTTTCAACAATTTTCAGCGGATAAAAGATTAGATAATTTCATAAAATAAATATTAGAAATTTTATTAAATATGATATTAAAATTTTCTAATTTTATTAGTAAAATATTTTGGTGATACATTTGATATAAAACTTGGTTCATATATTTGATAAAACATTTTATTATGGATGCTTTTTTTAAATTTAATATTATATTAAGTATATATAATAAATATATTTAAAAATATATATTTCTTTGTATAAATCTATTTGTTTTTAGTAAAAATCTAGTGGATTTGGCTGAAACCGAAATTTACGTGATAAATACGGACGGTAGCAATTTAAAACAGGTCACTTCGCTTGGAGGATCGAATTTATCACCAACTTTTTTAGACGATAATCGAATCATATTTAGTTCTAATTCAAAATCAAATGATGGTGCTAATCATTATAATATTTATACAATAAATGAGAATGGAAAAAATTTGGAACAGGTTAGATAAATAATTATTCTTAATAATTAATAATAAAAATTCTTTGAATAATTAGAATAATTATCGGAATAATTATCATCTTCATTATCGTTATTATTATCATAATTATCATTTATCTTCCAAATTGGAACACTTGAAAGATTATTAAGCGATAAACTACGATATTCGACATGCTTATAGACTTTTTTTTAAAAAAAAGGCCAAAAAAAGTGGCGAATTGTTATAAATTCGCCTTTAAAAAATCTTTTTTTTCCACCCAACCTGGAATTTATTATGGAAAATACATGGGGAGTTTCAAAATTAAAAAATAATTTATAAGGGCTAATCAATTTTTATCAATTTTAGATAACATTTGATTCGAATACGACGAATTTATTTCCGATGATAAGTTTCGACGGTGAACTATTGACGTGGAGTAGCGATAAGAATAGAGGCAAATTTAATTTATATCTTTCAAAATGGCTTCAAAAATCGCCTTTAAATTATCATTTTTATCATTCTGAACTCAAATACTTTTCAATATTTGAAAATCTTTTTAGCATTTCAATTATTAGCGAATTTTTTAATTATCTAATTAATAAAATATTAAAATTTTTTAATTTATAATCTCTGCAAAGAAAAACCTTTTTGCAAAAGAATTTTCGTTTCATAGATTGATTCGCTTTTATTTTTTTAATAGAGACTTTGAAACTTCCATTATAAATCTAATTTTTAATTTTTTAAATTTTATTTCAAATTTTATTGTAAATTCTATCTATCTATTGTTATTTTTATTTTAAAAAATAATTCCTAAAATTGGTTTTTTTCTCTTAAAGTTTTCGTTAATTTTAATAACAAAATAATAAATAATAATAATAATAAATATAACACCATTAGTTTTTAAAATATATAAGCATTAATTAAGTTGGTCTATAATAAAAGACTAATATTATGTAAAGTAATATTATTTGTAACCATATAAAAAAATATCTCTTTTTATCACGTAATTATTAATCTTAAGATGGCAACTGTGATAAAGAGAAAAAAAAAAGAAATAACAAGAACAATTCGAACTGTGTAAATTAACTGATAAAACATTTCAATTATTCATTATATCAAACTCGTTACGATGAAAACAATAAAAACGCAATAGAATAATGAAACTAGCGAGGAGATTTAATAAAATGATTCCAACCAAATTTCAATTTAATTTTCCTAATTTCCAATGAAAAATTTTTTCGAAAGTAGAAAAAAAAACTTTAAATATTTTCAGAAAAATTTTCGGCCTCAATAACAAAAAAATTTTTAAAAATTAGCAAAATATGAAAAATACGAAATACAGATTTAATAAGAAAAAAAAACACACTAGAGATCGGTCAACATTGGCATAGGCAATTTTTTCCTAAATTATTTTTTACTTTAATATTCGCGTTTAAAAAATTATTCAATAAATAAAATTTAAAAAATTAAAATTTCTTCTGATAATTATTTATTTAAAATTTCGGAAAAAAACAAAGGATATTTTAAGTTCTTTAAATCGAAAAAATGAAAAAAAATAAAAAATAAGCCACATGATGCCATTTACCAATATTCAAAATAAAAATATCCAACAAGAATAAAATCTAAAAAAAATTCTACAAAAAAAATTGTGAAAATTTGAGAATCACTAACATCAATTGAAAAATTGCATAATAAATCTCTCCAATCATAAATTTTTCATAATAATTTATATTTGCCTTTTAGCCACAAAAAATATGTCGCATGTTTTCATATAAAAAAAATTAATGCAATAAAAATTTATGATTCCACAATTTTCCTTTGTCCGAAATGATTATACCAATAGTTGACAGTCATTAATGAATTAGCTGAACGATGGAGCGATAGCTGTTTATAACTCTTTTCATTCATTAAATAACTGAAATTTGTGAAAATAAAACAACAACGAAATGACTGGCAAATGTGGATAATAATCCAAAGCCATATTTAAATATAATTAGCATAAATAACGGCATTTCTTATGATAAAAAAAAAAGCATCAAATAATTATTGACTTTAGTTAATAGGTTTTAATTTACGAATTTCTTTTGTTGCCCACATCGCCAATGATTTTGTCTTAACAGTTTTACTCCGTCGACCGCGCGTCAACATTGCCGAAATATAATCATTGTCTAAAGCAGGTAATATTGCTGCACCAAAAGACGTCACCAAATCACCTAAATAAAATTTGCCTAATCATAATCATTAGCTTGTCAAATCAAAATAGATTGGAAATCATTGTATATGACTTTTTTTGATAAACAATGTAGGATTATTCATTATAGCGATAGAAAGAAACAAAATTAAACCAATTAAGCCTGCAGTCACACCAATTAATGAATCGCTTGGTTTGCTTTCAGCAATTATTTTTATGAGCTCTAACATGCTACTCATTTCAGTTGCTAATGTTGCCAGATCCTCTTGTGAAGACCGCAAACCCTGCACAATACCCGTATATGCTTCTATGCAGCTCTCTCGTAACCCTTCTGCATATTCGACTTTATCAAAATCGTTCTAAAAGAACCATAAATGAAAATTTCGGAATCAAAAGCGGTAAAATTATATGTGGTAAAGAATATCTCCAAAAATTTCCCCATCAGATCTTTTTTACACTTTCCTTTCCTATATACTTTTGATGAACATAACAAAATACTACAAACTAACAGGATCATCGACTTTAGCACTTGAGACTGCCATCTTTAACAAGGCCATAACATAAGCATAGTAAGAAGCAAAACTTCGCCCAACAGCTAGAGCAATATCACCAAAACAAGAAAGCACCGCTGGTTTTACAGAACAATCAACTCTGTTACTCTGAAAAATTTTCTAAAAAAATTTGCAGAAACAAAGAATGATTACTCTGAAAAATTTTCTAAAAAAATTTGCAGAAATAAAGAAAGATATTTAAAAATTTATTATTTTAAAAAATTTAATAGGAACTAGTAAAATTAAGAAAAACTAACCTGTATAATTTGAAAAAGTAGAGTCATAAAATGATCTAAATAAGGTATTATACTGCTTTCTAATGCTCGGCATAAATCCGCAAGTACTCCAATAGCGGATGAGCACACCTGGCTTTCTTCATGATTTGAAAGACCAGCAACAAGATATGGTTGAAATACTTCTAAATAAATTATAAATCGACTGCCAAGTGCTGAAAAAACTTCGATTAGCTTATCCATTATGAAAGCTGAGAGAATTTTTACGATTGTACTAATTGGCTAATTAAATAAATTTAGCTTTCCATTAAATCCGAATTTAAAATTTAAAATGAAATTACGACCACATTCTTGTACAAATAAAAAATCAAAAGAAAGGTAATATACGATAAACCAGACCTTCGATAAGGGTGCTCACAGCCATTAAAGCGTCTTCCATTACTCCTCCAGAAACTTTACCAGAACAACTGAAAGAAAATTTATCATTTTAATGAATCAGATAATTAAAAAAATTTGATCAATTATTAGGAGAAAAATTTTTTTTTAAGCAAATTAACCAGATTCACATGAATAATTTCTTAATCAACTCTTGCTAAAATTTAAACAGTCCTTGAAATTTTATTAAATATGGATATGATTTCAAGAAGGATCTTTCCTTTAATTCAATTTATTTTGCCCAATCGAAATAGCATACTGACTGATGCTGATTAAATATAAAATGAAACAACGTTTTCTAACTGCTAATTATGAATTTTATTAATTTGATATATAAAGGATACCACTGCATAATTTGTAAAAGACCGCGCATAATAGCATCACCAATGAGGGGTGCATCATCAGGCCTCATTTTTCGTATTACTGATTGCAAAGTCGCACAAAGTAACGATTCCAAATCCCTCAACTGACACTAAAACAAAAAGTACAAATGGTTTACACTTATTCTCGATGACGTTATAATGAAGATGTACTGAAAAAATTAACCTCAAATGAAAGATTATAAGAGTAAAAAAAGTAGAATATAATAATAAGGTAGGAATAACACTCACGAGAAATTCATGAAAAGAAATGATAAGCGAAAAGATAACACAAAAGTAAAATACATTAAATAAAAAAATGAAATTTCCTAACCAACCTTATCCATGGCAGATTCTAAACTATTTTCAATATTTAAAATCTGTTCAAGTTTCTTCAAAATGATTAACGTCGTTTTCTGCACAGCGGGATAACAATCCTGAGGACTATTTTTTATTAACTCCATAAGTGTCTCGAAGGCGGCTATGCGCAAATTTGCTATATGTGCATCAGGCCTAAAAAGTGGAATGAGATAGAAGCAATATAAGGAGAATGAAGCAAATAAGACGATGGTCTTTTATAATCCAGCTTTTAATATTGGTCACTCGATTAAAAAAATTTTACCTATCAGTAGCTTTGATCAGTTCATCAATTATTGCTTGGAAGCATGAAGAAAGTATATAAGTTTCTGGTTGCCCAGTATCATCAGTTCCACCTTGACAAGCTACGTCGTATGCAGCCTTAGCTAAACTCGAAATTGTCTAAAAACATTTTTTTAAAATTTGCTCCAGTAAATTGAGAATACAATGAAAACAACTGATCTCTTTATGAAATTTTATTTCAAAACTAAGATTGAAAATCAAAGTTAAATTTAAAAGGTACCCAACAAACATTTGAAGCAACACGTGGTTCTTGATGGAGGGCTCTAGATAAAGCAGGTAAAAGAGGAGTAAGGATTTCTTGCCGTATGGCAACTTCTTCACATGTATCACAAACTCTACCAACACACCATGCAGCAGTATCGCGAACTTGAAGCTTAAAAATGCCAATCATATATATATATATATAATGAATAAATAAGTAATGAAATATTCTTAAACCCACAAATATAGCAAAAAAATTTCTGGTTTCAACAATCTTACTTGAGAATCACTTAGTGCATCAATTAAAAACCCAATTGCCGATTCGACCAATTGCACAATCATTTTCTCATTTGGACCATCAAGTATAGAACCAAATGCCATAATAGCTGCTTCACGATACCTTTAAATATCTAACATTTGAGAAATATTTTTTCATCAAAGTATCAAAATCATATTTATTTAGGCTACAAATGTTCCATCATTTTGGTCTAAACCTCGCTAATTTTTCTTGTTCGATTTCTGCTCTCAATTCACTTTCCAATTATCCTAAAGTTCTCTCTCCATACGTTCAAAATCTTTCTTGCTTATATCAATCCATGTCTTGATTGGTCCTTCTCGTCTATATCAGTCCATGTCTTGATTGGTCCTCCTTGCTTTTGACGCTAACCATCACAAGTAACGAAATATGCTCAACTCCTGTAGTGGAAAACAAAAAAATACCTCCAGTCAGCATCCTTGAGATGTTGCTGTATGAATGGTAAAATAATTTGAACTATCGAATCACCAGTGCATTGAGCCAAAAGCATTATGCAAACACCAGCTGCTTTTGCTGGTGTCCAATCATCATCATCACATTCTCCTTGTTTAGCCAATGTTTCGGTAAGATAAGGAATTATATGAACAAGCGCACCTAAAATTGTATCTGGTATGAAATACAAATTTATAATAAAATAGAGCGCAAATAAACCATAGAAAAAATTGGGCAAATTCAAACAGAAAAAGTTGATGTAATGAAAATAATCATAAAATAAATGAGAAATAAAATTTCATTCCAAAATTATAAATAAAATTATATTATAAAATTACCTTTAGAATAATGCCTAGAAATATTTTCAGGTGTTCTGCCCTGTTCTTGAGCTTCTTCGGCTTCAACGCTCAATGTTATTTCTTCTTCACAAACATTAGACCAAAATTCAATTCCTTGTAATGCTACAGCATCTACATCTGATCTCATGGCCTCCAAACTGATCTGAATCCAATGAGTATAAAATAAATAAAAAATTTTTTATGAAAATATGAAAGTGCTTAACTTTATTTAAATAGGAAATATAGAGAAATAATACGGAGTTTTGTTAAAATAATATTTTAGGATCTATCTGCAAAAAGATTACTGGAAATAACGCTTCCTTCATGTATTGCTCCATAAATTGGTAATAAAGAGACATTATCCTAACAAGACACTGCATTGCAACAACTTTAACGGAGATATCAGAACACTGAGATGCTTCACAAATCACTTGCATTATTATATCCCTCTCTGTCTAAAATTATTAAATGCTGATTTATTAAGAATTCAAATATAATAAGAAAATTAGATAGCTGCAAAAGATATAGAAAATCAAACAACTTAAAAATATAATTATGAGAAAAAAACTAAGAATCTGTAATACTTACTTTATTACTGAAATTGCTTCTAGTAAACTCTAGTGAATTAAGCATTGCATTGGCAGCAGCAAGACGCACATGATTAGATGATTCTTCCTTACGCAAACCATGAACAATTGCTGTCAAAATCAAATTGGCTTGTGATTCTAACGTTGCACTATTTATATCTTGACATATATATCCCAATGCCTTTAAAAAATTTATAAAACGAATTTAATATTCAATATTTATAATTCAATATTTATAGCGGTTAATACCACTACGTACTCTTTTAAAAAATTTTAACAGCACTTGAAAAAAGTTTTTTTCCTATATATATATGAATATATATATCCGCATATATGAATACGAATAGACCGATACTTTCATGATTTATTAACTAAAATATTTTTATTTTAAAAACATAAAATAAATTACCTCCAGACATGATTCTTTCAACATTTCTGAATTACTACCATCTGTTATATTGTGTTGCAACATACCGATTACATCTGGCCAAAGCTAAAAATACTAATACTCTTGACAAAACAATAAAACAATATCCATATTACCCAGAATATTAATATTATCCAGAATAATAACATTTTCAAAATGATAATATACAATAATAAGTAATATTTTCCAATAAATAAAGAAATAAAATATCTTAATTTATAAATTAAAATATATTGAAATATAAAAATATAGTGAAATACTAAACTTAATGGAATTTCTAAAATCTCATTAAAATATGGATATATGGATTTAAACAAAACAAAATACCTGAGAAGGTATTTCAGCGCAAGCAATAGCAGCAACACATTGCGCAGCAATTGATGGTCGAAATGGTTCAGTACCTAGAGTACGCATCACATTTTCTTTTATAAGTCGTCGAACATCTTCTGGCAAAGCTAACCATCTGAAAAAATAAAGTGAATATAAATAAGTACCATTTCTCATTTAATATTTGAGAAAAAAAGAGAAATATTTGAGACAAAAAATGAAGAATTTCATAAGAAATTTGCTTAATTAGAATTCCATCGAATAACAGTAAATCGAATCTATCTGACTAATAAATCAGTGAAAATTATTTTATTACCGAGCTAGATATTCATTTTTCGTCGTTTCTTCCTTAGCAACCAATACATTTTTCAGTTGTATACCAGCTGCTTGTCGAACAAAATTACTACATGAAACTGATGCAAGGACAGTAGACAACTGCTTTATAAATTCGGGCTTAAAAAATTGTATTAAAAAAGGATACGAAAGATAAAATTAGATAAAAATTCAAATTCATTTAAAAATTCATTTTAAAAAATGGTATTAGGAAATTTTTCATAAAAATTAAATAAAATGAAAAAGCATACGAAGTTTGCTACGCATGCATGCTTCAAGTAGTCTAATGCTAGTTTCTGATCATGCGGATCTGAAAATTTTTCATTAAGTAGATATTTGAAAAGAAGATCAGTCGAAATCTCCATTCGGATTAATATCACTTATAATATATTTATAACTAATCATCTTAATCGCCTCATATATAATGAGATAAAAAAAATACAAAAATTTTGAGCCGTAAACATATTTCAACAATCGAAAGAGACAAAAAGGTAAAAAAAACTAACTCTGTGATGCAGTTTTCTCTAAAACTTGAAGCAATTCAGGCTGTGCCATTTCATTCACAGCCCTATACAATCCAAATTTCGCCACTATCTACAAGTCTGAAATATTCTTGTTATAATATATATGTATTATTAGCTATTTTCTTTACAGTACGAAAAATAAAGTGGTTTAAAATAGCGCACATATTTTGATATAAGCAACTATATTTCCTACAATAGATAAAGTACTTTCGAGTAAAATTTTTTTTTAATTTTGCGTATATACGGCTTTCACTAACACCTAACACCTTTCGATATTTCATAAGAAATTTAAATTAAGCGAGATTAATCAGAAATCAAGGTTAAACCTAAATCTAAATCTAGAGGTTGGGAATACTGGGAATACTGGGAACTGGGAACAGCCATGGTTTGTAAAAAGTTGGAAATACTGGGAATGCTGGGAACTGTTCAACAGCCATGGTTTGTAAAAAGTTATGATCAAATAAATCGTATAGTTTATAAAAAAAAGACCGTACAAAAAATAGCAATCGACGTCAGTTAGCAATATAAGTAAATTTAAACAGAAACTCAGAAATTCTTTTCTTTTCGCCTAACAGTTCTTCATGTTTCCAATTTAGTTGATTCTACTCAACAACTCAACAACAGGATGAAATCCTTTCGCTAGGCAATCTACTGATGATCTGTATGAGACCTAGTAATATCTCTCATTTTCAATATAAATTTTATTTGCAATTTTCAAAATTTGCGCTCACCAATGAACCCAAATAAATGATATTAAACAAATGAACTAATTGATTTATTCAATTTCACCTCTCTCAAACATTCTACCTTCTGGATAAGCATTTTCAACGGATTAACACTGATAAATTCCATATGTTACAGCAAAAAAAACCCTGACCATTATCATGAAAACTTTACCTTAGGATTATATATCTGGATTACAACAACCAAAAAATCCAGTCTCAGCCATTCTTTATTAAGAAAGAAACTTCCTCCAATTTTTTTTATAACCTCCAGCAAAATGCTTGTAATCCAAATGAATGATATGGATGAAGGCTACGCGTCAGAAAATTCTGAACAAATAAAAGAGTGAGGATTCCTTTGTTTTCATAACGAATTATATATTATATATTGTATAATTGTGCGATAGAATGAAGCAATGCGATATGCGATTGAAATCGTGGAAGTGGTTCCGATGATTAACGTGCCCTAATTCGCAACGACTTCTCGAATCATGCATAAATCTCAGCTAATAAGTCGTCAAATAATACTATTTCCGAACCAAACACCTTCCAGGATCTTTCTTTTTCAAACAGTAATCTTCTCATAAACATGATAAAATCATCCAAATAAAAAATATTAATCAAATTATCTAATCTAAACCAGAATGATACATTGAAAATGTTAAAAACACCTCGACTGATAGATAGTAAGTGCGAAAAGTCGGCTTCTAAAAGTTTAAAATTGATGAAAAACGAAAAGAAATATTACGGGCACGATCGAGCGTATAATAAGTCAATTTCAGTTCGATGAGATCAGTCTTAGGTTAGTCGATTCATTTATTGCTGCAATGTGGTTGTCAATCGACAATGAAAATTGACTCATAAAATATTTTCAAAAAAAAAAAAATTTTTTTCTTTACTTATTAAAAAATATTTTTAATAAGTAAATCGCATAAAAAAATAAATTGAATCGAATTAAAAACAAAATTGAAAAAAATAAAAATAAATAAAATTTACCTTAGAATATTGAAATTCTTTTCTTAATTTTTATAATTTTTATACTAAAAAAAAAAAATTCTTTTTAATCGAAATCCAAATTTTTGATTCCTGAAAATTTCCGCTTTATTTACAAAATATTTGTAATAATATTATTTATATTAAATGAATTAAATAAAAAAAATGAACGAAATAAATCATGAAATCAACTTTCTTTACGAGTAAAAAAAAAGAATGCAAAAATAGTGCTTTGCATACTCGACTCTTTTTTTAAGAGACCCCTCATCATTACTGCTTAGATTCGCTAGTGAGCCGCCCTGTCGCATACTAGGGAAAATATCCGTTGGCGACAAAGAGAGATTTAGATTTAGAGCGGTCAATATCACTCGAATTTTTGAATAGATTTTATTCCTGCGAAGAGTAAAATTTCAATATCGACGCTATGAATTCAGCAGTGCACTAAATAATCCTTCTCAATCATCCAACTAAACGCTTCTCTTCTGAGGGTGAAAATGTTTCAGTTAGTGGTGGCCCAGGCCTAATCCAAATTAGTAAATATGGCCAATGGCTAATTACTAAAAGTCGTCTTTTTTCTTTTTTACTTTTATTATAATAAAACTAATTTTACAAATATATTTAAGCGAATTTTTTTTTAAAATTTTCTTGAAATTCTAAAATTTTAATTATTAGAAAAAAATTATTTTTAATTAATTTATTTTTTTCTTATTTAATTCTTATTTCGTTCGAAAGGAAAAAAATTTTTTCAATAAAAAATATTTATTTCCATTGGTTTAATGAAATAAATAAATTAAATTGAAAGTCGACCAAATAAAAAAAAAAAAGGACTCCCAAATAAACGATCAAAGAAAGCGCCACCAATTTTTTAAAATGGTTACGCGGCAAATTTAAAAGATCGGCCGACACTTAGAGCTTTGCGGTCTAAGAAGTTCCATGCAAGGCCGTTAATGAATGGCTTTTTTAATGAGGTATGGCGAAATAGTATAAAAATTTTTGGTTGGTGTGTTGGTGTGTTTGGTTGGTGCAGATCTTAATTGGTTTTAACGAGGAGAAAAGGAGGCACAACAGGTTGAGAGGGAAGCGTTGTAGAGGTAAGCGTGGCTTGAAGGTTCGAAAAATTGGAAGAACCCCCAGAGAAAAGGGGATTATGGAGGGGGATTATAGGGAGAAGGATTAAGCAGATTTGGTGGATTGCTACTAGCATTTAACGAGATTCATAGGACTCTGAAAGAATATAGTGAGTTTTGAGGAAATATATACATACATGCAGTAACATGGAGATTGAATGGCTCAGTGGGTTGTTGCTCAATTGGGAGCGCCGATGCTGAGGTACGATTCCTCGCAGGAGTAATTCAAAAATAATAACTGTCTTAGTAGTAGAAATGAGCGTTTCCAAAAATGATAGTACGCTAAACCATCTATCTTCCTATCTGTCCTATTTCTTGAATCGAAGTCCAGTAACTATTATAACAACAATTTGTGAAGCGATTTTTCTCCCATATCTAATTTTTATATTCTTTGTTTTATAAAATATCGGCAAGAAATAAGCGAAATTTTTATGGAATAAAAATTTTCATAATTTAAAAATTTTATAAAAATATATTTTATAAAAATTTAATTTTATAAAAATTTTTATAGAATTTATGAAATCTTTTTTTATTTTCTATTTTAATTGAAAGATTCGAAATTATTATTTTGTCGAATAAATTAGGGAGGTCCAATAGAGCTTTAAAAGAGTTAATAGAATTAGCCAAGCCAATAGTTCCGTAAGCCATTTGAAGAAAAAGAATAAATTGAATAGTTTGTTGTTGTAAAAAAAACACTTTTTTTTAAATATTTTATATCGATTTTTTTATTGGCAAAAAAAAGAAAAAAATTTACTTTATGCATGAAACCAAAATTAACACGTTGACTATTCAAGTATTATATAGGAAACGAGTCCCAGGCATTATTTGGTTTTAAGCCAAGGATTACCAATTTATTTTAACGAGGATAACTTTACGTAGACGTTGCCTAAAGGAAAACAAATGACGCCAAGCCACCAATTAATAAATATCTTAGATCAAATCAAATCAGCCTAACTTGCTCAAAACTCATAACTCATCGTTCGTGATAATTTTTGCCAGATTTTACTAGGATGATTAAATTATGTTTACTAAAGACAGTCAACATGTTGAAGAATTACAAATAAATACAAAAAGCAAAAATTATCAAATCTTTGTTATCTATCATTGATAATATAAAAATAAATTAGCCGTAAAAATTTAGCATTTTTAATCAGTAATCAAATCTATTTAATTAGATTTCCAATTTAGGTAAAATTTCAGAAATATATAAACTTTAAAAACTTATAGAATATTCAACAAATTCATTTATTGATAATTTATTGATAAGACTTATTTACTGATAATCGAATCGTTTTTATTGAATGATTTATGATAATGTTCGCCATAAAGTACATGCCTGAAAAAAAAAAGACTAAAAATTTAATAATTCTACTTAAAAAAAAAGTACAGAATTATTGTTAAATTTTTTTTTCATGGAAAATCATGAGAATTTTTAGTTCACTGATACACTGATAGTCAACTCATACACTGATCATACTACAGGAATAAATCTGTCCTTGAAAAATCCAAGTAATGCTGGCGACTCATCTGTCACTAAGTTGGTAAAATTTCTGTGGGTCCGATAAGCCAGCGGAGCGAGTCCAACCAGCAAAGGTTAGAGGTTCTTGTTAAAGGTTCTTAAAAAAAAACGAATGATCATATAAAACGATTATTACCAAGTTATGTCCGAGATTAGTAAAGCTATTTGGTCGCATCGGTGATTCCGCATGATTTAGTACCGGCGATCGTGTTCGAGATCTTCTTTCTTCACCCGTTCTGCCTTCATGACTATAATTACTTAAAAATATATTAATTTTATAAAATTTATGGCATTAGTGGAGAGAGTTTCTTGAGAAAAAGAAGAAAAAAACCTTGTGAGAGGATTTCTAAATAATGGATTTGTATCAGTTTTTTGAGAATTATTACTACCAAGAGCACCAAACCATGATCCACGACGCAATGATGACGTCGATTCATCTAGCGAAGAATCACTCGCATCCCTGACTGGAAAAAAATTCCAGAATTAATATTTTTTTAAAAATATTATTAAAATAGAGATTATTTGCAAATATAGGTAAAATATAGACGATTATCATTCGATACGATTAAATAATCAAACTTACCAATTCTTAATGAGCTTTCAGAACCCGATGATGCATGAGAATTTCTCGGTCGACCTTTTGCACCATTTTCTAAACAACCATCTGCGGAAAGAAATGACATCTTCCTTAATAAAATTATTTTTTATTTAAATTATTATTTTTTTATTATTATAAATTATTTAATTATTTAAAATAAAAAACCATTTAAATTATATTCTACAATGGAAAAAAATCATGAAAATTATGCAAATGAAAAAGAATATAAGTAAGAATATGAATATTAATATAAATATTATAATTATTATAATTATTATTACAAATATTATTATAAATTTAAAATAAAAAATATTATTTGAAATTTATAAAATTTGTCGCACCTCGTGTCGTAATCGGAACATGATGGACGAGCGATTGTAATCGTTACCCGTGGTAAATGCGTACTACTCATACTAACTCTTCGATTTCCCATTTTTCTAAACTAATAATATAGTTTTAGCAAATATTTTACAGATTTACGCTATTTTTTCGTAAAATTTATTTATTTTTAATTTATTTATTTATATTTTTTCAAATTTTTTTTTAAAACACGTTTTTATTCTATATTTATTTGAGATTTTCCCTCATCGTACGTAAAATTTCGGTATTAGCGCTCAAAAATGAGAAGAACATTTTTATCATTATTATTTATTATTTTATCACTTATCAATTCAGTGAATAAAGAAAATACCCTAGCGTGATATTTGTAGGCGATTTTTGATCACTTTCAAGCCTTAACTCTTCAATTAATTCGATAAGTATTTTAATTGTTGCTAAAATTTCTTGAAATTGTGTTGCACTTAATTCGTATGATCCAACTCCAACAGTTAGCGGATTCAATAAATACGTACAAATAATTTCCGTATTTCGAAGACGTGTTGCATCATGCGCTATAATTTTTTGCACAAAACCTAAAACATTCGGCGTATAAGTATTCCTTTCCTTTAGGAATAATTATAGGGTAATTTTAAGTTTTATGCTGAAATATCGAAAAAGGAAAAGGAGAATTGTAGTGAATGAAATGAAATGAACTGATTGTTATCTTTCTTCAGACATTTTTAGCCAAATGAAAGGAAATTTATTAAACTTGTTTAATTACGCATTCCTTTTTTTTTTTTTTTTATTAACTTTTTCTATTTAGTGAGCATTTAGAAAAAATGAACGTAATGGAAGATAAAATTTCTCTTATAAGTACCATTCATTTTACAAATAAATTGGTAGTTTAATTAGTAATTTTTCTATTAATTATTTTATAAAGATAACTAAATTAATAAAATTTTTCACATTAATATTTTATAAAAATATAATAAAACCAAATGAATGAAGAATAATCGTGACTTACATGCTTTTGCATAAGTAACTGCATGATGTTGCATGTCACAAAGTGAGGCTATAGTAATGAGGTTTTGCAAAATAATCGAATCACAACCATACGATAATGCAGTTGCACAAGAAATAAAATCAACTTGCCGCTATAAAATTTTGATAAATTTGATATAAAATTGAAAATATATAATATATTTATACAATATATTAATAATTCTATTATTAAAAATTAATAAAAATTTTTGCAAATTAAATTAACAATTAAATTTTTACAAAAAAAAAAAATTACTTTTGCATTTTTTTCTAAAAATGGCGACATTTTTGCCATTGTTGGTATGACTTCACGTGAAACAAACTGTCGTGGCAAAAATTCAGTGATTGTTGCTAAGCCACGAATAGCCAAGGTCTTAAAAAAAAATTGATATAATCAAATGATGATTAAGTAATTACTATTAAATTAATATTTAATTACCTATTAAACTATTAAATAATTACTATTGAAATTAACTAATAACTATTAAAGCGACAATAATAGAATAATAGCAGTCGACATATTAAATGAGTTGCTTAGATTATCTAAGGTTCGGCGTAAGTTATATATAGAAATATGGTTATATATAGTTATAAATTTGTTATTAAAAATCCGATTGGTACTGAGGATATATTTCTATCCATGAAAAAACTATATGTTCCACAAATATAGAGCTAAATCACCTCTCATCATTACTGATTAAATTCGCTAAGCTGACTTGTCGCAGTAGACAAATAAGCAAGGATTTCATTGGTGATAGAAGCGCAACTGAGTCGTGAGAAGTATCATTCGGATTTTTCGGATCTAAGTTTACTCCAATGTACTCCAATAGTAAAATCCTAGCACCCCAATCTCGGCAATAAGCAACAACCCACTAAGCCATTCTATTCCTCAAATTATTACATACTTGATTTGTATCATCATTGGATTTGAGGCACTCAATAACAAAATCTAAGAGAAATTCGTCGATTTGTTCGTCGTTAATTCTCCGAAATAAAATATTCAAATTTTCCATGATGATTGGTGTTAACTAAAATTTTATTTTGATTTTATATATTTCTTATAACAAATAGAATTAAATTTATGAAACCTCTTCATTTCGTTCTATTTCCTTAATGCACCATTGAACTACGCCGAGTGCTAAACGAATACAGCGAGATTAAGTGGTGTCAAATAGCTATGGCCTGAGAGACTAAAGACAAGACGCAGAGGTTCCAAGCAAAAGTTACTAATTGGTCGTGCAAAGACCTAGTGCGCGATTCGGCAGGAGGGTTTAAAGGAAGGAAGATGGTCATAAGGGAATGGAAAATAGATTAATAGTAAAATCTATGACAGAAGTAAAAAGAGCGATTCAGTGAAGGATTATTAAAGAGGCAACTTAGAATTAAGGAGGTTTGGAGAAGATCCACCCAATGTGATAGATGCATTTTGGCGAATACAAAAATAATTTGGACTTAGAAATTTTTCCGCTTAAGATTGTATTTTTCATCTAAGAAATAATATTAATTAAGCATTTTATTATATATTTACCAATATTTTTCCATATTTTTAGAGTTCAAATCGAAAATTTTCCTCAAAAAAAATTTAATCGAACCGCTTTCTGTTGGGAATGACAAATTAATCGATGAATCCATGGCTTCAAATGTGGAATGTTATCATTTTCACAACGATCAAGCATAAATATAAGTGGCCTAGCAAGCGCTGCATAGAGTTCATGTGAATCTATCAAATGCTCGTTGAATCTTTGTAAGATACGACTGAACCAAAGATCCTGTAAAAAGAAATATTGCTACTAATAATTCATATATTTTTCTTGCATTAATTTCCAATTTATAATGGAACTGCACTGAATTTGACTGTGTTAAAAAAGTGCATTTTTTTCATTACTAAAAAGCAATATATCCAAATTAGGAAATCAACGAAAAATTATAAAAAATATATCCCATTTTTCACATACGAATTTATAAAAAATTTTTTCATGCAAATTCATTAGCAAATAAAATTCTATGAAAATGATTACCTCAGGTATGTTGGGTAAAAGATTATATAAGGTTTGTGATAGGAAAAAACTTTTGTTTGCTGGATCAAACATTTGAGCAATATCGTCAAGTTGGCGAAGCGCCGATAACGTTTGGTCATCAAAATATTTAATCTATAAAAATGAACAAAATTTTGCAAAATAAAAAAGAGAAATTTTTAAGAAATAATTCAAAAAAATTTTAAATATGAAAAATATATAAAAATTATTTTATGAACTGATTTATTGGTTATGCATAATTAGATTGGAAACGATAACCAAACTCATAAAACTCAAAAATTATATTTCTTGAAAGAATTCCCCTTAGGAGAAAATTAACTATGATTTCAGAGTCTATACCAGTACACATGCCAGTTATTTATTTTCCTCCAAAATTATTTCATAAATAGAAATATGATTAAATTAAATGCTATAAAGTTACAAGACGAAATAATTCAGTTGGTTCTTGCTCTCATTTCGAAGCATCGATACTTGGGTTCTACTCGCGACAGGAATAAACCTGTCTTTCGAAAATCCGGTTATTGTTGATAATTCACCTTTACTTCTATCGTCAAGTTAGACAACATTTTTCTGAACCACAAGCCAATGGAGCGAGAAAGAGTGAGTTTTTTTCAAAAAAAAACTGCTGGAACTGCTAAGATGTTAACAAAAAATAGATTAGTTTATAGTGCAATAAGATATAAAATTGAGAAAATGAACGTACAAGAACAAGTAATTGAACGGAGGGTCGTTGATCAACTGAACAACTAAGCACCTTTTGCAAGACATCCAGTAAGTTGGAATCAAGATGTGATGCAATACATTTCAGTGCGGTGTCCAGCTAAAACTAATTTCTTCACGAATTAATCGAATTAATCTTCGTTAATATCATATCAAAATATCATATCATATCAAAATATTTAAGAAATTCTTTATTTCTCGTATAATGCAAAAAAAAAAGGTGCAAACCTGGCCAACGATGATTAAGTACGTCTCGATATTATTTTTAGCGTCTATCAATCGACTTCCTCCTGAGAAAAAAACGAATTTTTTTCTTGGAATTTTGCAAATTTCATAAATCTTCAAATATTGGCTAGATTACCTGTACAAATCCAACAAATTAATGCGCCAAGTGAGAAAACATCAGCCGCAGTCGTTACAGTAGTTTGATTAGCCGCTAAATATTCAGGTGCAAGAAAATCGAGATCGGGTTGAAGTTGGACGGGTAATTTCTTTGTCCATGGAAAACATGGAAAAACATTCTGAAAACCGATTAATTATGCATTAATACGTAAATTTAATCAAAAGTTTAATAAATCTATTCAATGGTCAACATTTGCAGTAAAAAATTGGCTTATAAATAATTATTTTATACATATTTGGTTTTCGAAGTTTTTCTGTGATACAAAAATTAAGCAAAATTTACCGGACCCTTAGCCATCACCGAAAACGATAATCCACCTATTTTCCATAATCGAGACGTTGTTATAAATATTACGCTGGGGACCAGATTACCATGTAATATTTTTGCATTATTGTGAAGATATGATAGTCCATCTATGATCTTAAATAAATGATAAATATAGAATATTTGATAATATAAATGAAATGATATAAAATGAAATAATAAGTATTATAAATAAATAATGATAGCAATTAATATTATTAATAATATTAATAATAATATTAATAATAATTATTAACAATAATAACAATTTTTATTACATTTAAACATTTATTACATTTTATTACATATAAAATTACATTAAAATTAAATCATAAAACATGAATGTTATATTCAATTAAATATATACATATATTTTTTTTTTTGCATCAGAAGAATTTTCGTATAAATAAAAAAAAAATTCAATAAATCTATAATAATATTGCTTGAAAATTAAGAAAAATAGAAGCCTATATAGTGAAAGGCTATGTTAATTTTCTATAATCATTTGTACCAGTAGAGAATAGCTCGGTGAGTTTTTGCTGTCATTTCAGAGCGTTAATATCGGAGTTCTTCTCCTAGTAGGGAATTTTATCTACCAAAAATCTCCTCTCTATTGCTATTCATCTATAGTTCAATTGCCAGGTGAAAATTCTAACAAGCGAAAGCAGAGTGAGCCTAATTTCAAAAATATTTCTAAAATGGAGCAAAAGTTTTTCGCACCTGCAAAATGCCAATCTTCATCTCTAATTTTCCTATTTGTTTTTGTAGGATTAGAGTTTCTAGATTTGTATAAATACTTTCACTGGCGTATGCCATCATCTCCCTGAAAGCAATAATTCCATAATCACTTATTCTATAAAATTTAAAAAAACCTATAAAAAAAGTAGAAAATAAAAAAATATGAAAAGATATGAATTTAAGCAATTCGTGAAATTTATGATATTTTTCATAAATTGATTTACCTATTTTCCTCGATGCCATGTTGCAAATGTAATATTCTCGGATGTGTCACTGAAATCAATTGCGATACATCATATTTGACCAAATCCAGCAATGTTAAACGATTTAATCGGCCAATTCTTGGTGGTGCTTTTACATTACTCTTTTTATCGATCACAAAAATAGATGCATCCTTGAATTTTTTTTTTTCGAATTATTTAAAATTCTCTTAAGAGTTAACTATTTTGGATTAATTATGGATTAGATCAGATCCATTAATATTCATTAATTCTTCCTTAATTCATTAAAAGATAACTGAAAAATCGAATGTTGTATCGAATTAATTAATGATAAAGGAAATAATTAGCTAGGCTATAAATTTTTCTCTCTACTATTAAACTTCTCCATATATATCATTAAAAAAGATAATTTTGCTTTTAGCTTTGCAAAAACCATTTCTTCGCTAATTTTTTTTTATTTTTTAGCTATTTTCTAATTCTTTTGCTCTCTATTAAATTACATCTTCTAACATGTTAATTATCACGATAAGCCATTCAAGTCTAATTGGAGAATCGCTCGAAAATAGAAGTACAAGTGGCTTCCTTGAGCTGCCCTAATTTAGTGCCAGGTTAGATTCGAAGAATCGAACCTATAATCGCTTGATCAAAGCAATATATCATTCGATTATTCTATCCTTAAATTATAATACCTATTAGCCATCATTCTCTTCCACAGTTTTCAATATTTTCCACCTAATTAAACTGATTATTTTCTTCTTAAGAAAGAAAAACAAATAAGAAAGAAAAAATTCGAAAATTCTAATGTATCTAACTTTTTTTGTTTAAACAATAAACAATAAACGTGGCTTAAAATCTTTCATATTCATATTTCTTATTGGATTGAGTAAAATTTTGCTAGAGAGTCATTTGGCAAAGGTAGATCGCCAATATTTATTCAGGCTCCTTCCTCATGCAGAGAATCGAACTCAAGCATTGATGATCCGAAACTAATTTAATGACTCATTAAGCTATTCTGATAAGAAGTTGCAATTTGAAATATCGACTAACCTTATCACCAATATAGCTTTTGGCAAAATATAATCGCCAAATTCCAATTTTTGATTCATATTTTAATTTATGATAATGTTTGTCGAGTGGAGTGATTGGTAATGAATTTTGATCAATTTCTTCTCCTCTTGCTTTACCCGGTGAACTTTTCATTGAAAGACGAAAAATAGAATTTCTGCCATCTCGTCGAGTCGCATTCTGAAATTATTTTTAAATTAACAATATTTATTATTAATATAAGTACCAATATCTATAATCATAGATGTTCTTTATCAAAAATTCTACAAAATAGATTAAATGATAATTTCTTTCTTTAAAAAAAAAAAAAAAATGATAAAGAAAGGCCAATCTTTCGAATAATCTTCGAATAGAATTTGTTTTGAATGATCAAAATTAAATATAAAATCGTTATTTTAAATTCGATATAATCCAGTGAATGCAAAAATACATTTAATTCTACGAAAAATCTATAAGAAATAAGTAAAAAGAAAATATGATGCTTAAAAGTTTAAAATTCCGGAGAATGTTTATAACGCATACAATTACAATTAAAGCAATTAAAAGCAATTCCTTCATGTAAAATGAAAAATTCATGTTTTTGTCATTCACTCGAATTAAATGAACAAGTAAGTATAATTTGAAAATTTGCAAAAAAAAAAAACGAGTTGTAGAAGCCAGCAAGAAACCATCAAAATCTATAATATAAGAAAGTATTTCACTACTACTATGTCTATGCTTAATGCCTTCTTTTGCTTGCACTATCCAATAGGAGTTTTCTTATCACCATATGTCACCTTAACATATTTATGATAGTTATTATTTATAATTATTTTAATATGAAATTATTTTTTTCAAAAATATAAATCAATATTAATGCTAGAAAAAATCATTGGATCTTAAAAAATAGATCAGAAAGAAAACAAAGTATTAAATGGAACAGAGCGTGAAAATATAAATTATTAGCTAAGAATAAATGAATATTGCCTCAAGCGAAATGCTTAAAGAATTTCGAAATTCTTGGATGCAAGACGGACAATCGCTTTATTTTTGCCATATGCCACAAATGAATGTCGCAGCTAACACTAACATATTGATGATTTTATCAGTGCTATCATTGCACCGTTATCAATATTACTGAAAAATGCGTGAAAACCAATGTTATTAATCAAAATGAGTGACAGCAGTTCAAAAGAAATTTAAGAATTCTCTTTTCATCTATAAATTTAATTAATAAAAATAAAAAGAAAATTATCAGGAACGACAGTTGTTTTTCAATTCTCAAGAAATTTAAAAAAATAAAAAATTTAGTTAAATGAAAATGATTAGATTGTTTTTAATATTTCATTTCGATAAGTGCTTTAAATAGATATTTGAATAAATAAAAAATTTTATTGAAAAAAACGACGATATTTTATATTGAATCCTCCACAGTTATATTAAATCTTATTTTATCCATTCAAATCAAAAATTTAATAATATTTTGAATAAATATTTTATAAATAAACAAGTTGTAATAAATAAATAAATAAGTTATATTATAAATTTTATTATAAATAAAATAAAATTTAAAATTTAATAAATTATTTAGAAATGGAAATGATTTGCAAAAAAATATTATTTTTATAATTCAGTATTTTAAAGACCATCTTTGATGAATTCATAAATTCCTGTTGGCTTGTCAGAGGAGACAATTTTTTTTCTTTTTAGAAAACTACTAGACAGTCACCAGAAATACAATTGTCACTATCATTAATTGAATTTTTGAAATACAGTTTTACTGCTGGCTGAAAGAATTGCTTCACCCACTACCGCTCTTGGCTCTCTGAAATAAGCAATAGTCCATTGCGTTATGCTATTTTACCTTTTAATAGCTTATTAAGCTATGAACAAGGACAAAAAATTGCGTTTTCTATGAAAACCATAGTTTTCTTGCATTTATGAAAGTAAACTAACGTTTATTTTTTTGTAAAAGTTCTCACCATTACTGGTTAAACTCGCTCCATTGGCTTGTTGCAATTTAGCAATATGCCAGGTTCCTTGGCGATAAAAATACAGGCGAGTCGCCAGCATCAACCTGATTTTTATACAGGTTTGCTTTTGGAGGGAATAGAACCTCAGTATCAGCGCTCCAAATTTAACAAAACCCACTGAGCCATTCTATCTCCAAAGAGTACATATATATAAGTAAATTGCATGCATTAGTAAGCCGTTGTTCAATTCGGACCGTCGATGATGTGGTTCTACTTCTCGCAGGAGTTCCCGTTAATGCTGGTGGCTCATCTATACTTCAGTCAAGAGATTCTAAAAAAAATAATGCGGAAATTTTTTTTTTATTAAATATAAATTCAATCATTCGTGTTTTATGAAATATCTTATGATATTAAAGAATTATGACAACAATTATCATTATTTGATAATTATTGAATCTACAGCTAATTGGTATTGATCACCATGGTGATATATTCACTTAACGATAAAATCATAGAAAGGAAATCTTCATAAATATAGATAGCTAGCTAACTAAATAATTAGTTTCAAACATGTCGTTCTATATTCTTAATATGATAATAGAAACTATTAACAGTGAAAATTATATATGATTACTTTCCAGTTTTCAGATATTTGAAAAAATTGCGAAAAATGGTGAGTTTTGTCAAGGATTTTTAAAGGATTTAAAAGATTTATTAAGGATTTATTAATTTATTTATATACAAATACAAATACACTTGTGAATGACAAATAAACAAAAGATATCAGAATATTAAGCGAAATATCCTGAAAAATATGGTACTACTTAGCAGTAAAAACCGAGCTGTATGCCTTTAGACCACCAATAAATAATAAATAAAAAAGATTATTGAATGGCGATCGGCAATTAATATTTTCGCACTGCTATGAATAAATCAAATTTAATAACGACGCGTAGTTTCAATTCATTCATTGTTTTAACAAGAAAATCGGCATTAATGATAATAAATATTGCTAAATTAAATATGAATTAAATTAAATAATAGTCGTAAAAATTTTTCATATTGCTTTAAATTATTTCGAATTGCATTTAAGCTCACAAATAGTTCAAAATTTATGATTATTACCCATATGATTGTTTCCAGAAAACAAATAAGTAAATTTGTCTTCTACTATGATGTCAATCATATGATAATGATAAGAATGATGAGAATGCAAAATAGGTGATAAGAATGCAGAACACAAGACAATCAATCATTGATGATAATCACTAATGATAAGTAACGAAAAACATGCATAGGTTCATGCAATTCTAATCGTCTATGAACAATGAAAATTCATGAAAAGTCGCAATTTATTAGGAATTAATAAAAAAATTTTTTCATCAGCAAATTGCATAATTAATTTAAAGAATTTTCATAAATTTTCATTAATCATTCATTCGCTTATCCTTGAAAACTTTCATTTTCGTTAAAATATGAATTTAATGAGAAAAAATCGTTTATAACTTAAAATACTTTAGGAAAAAAATTAATTCGAATTGATTATTTCTTTTTTTATTTAAAAAAAATTTTTTTTAAATAAATATTTCAAAAAAAAGATGTGAAAATTTTTAGAAAAAAATTTCAAAAAATTAGAGAAAATGAATGAATTTTTTCGGAAAAAATTTTTTTAAAATTTTTATATTTTGAAATATTCTTTGAAAAACTATTTCGAATAAGAACTAATTAATTTATTTCTTATTAATTATATACTTATTTGTATTCGTTAATAATAATTGAAAAAATTATTAAATATTTCATAAAATTTTATAAATAGTAAAAATAAAACAAAATAAATACAGTATGCAAATTTTATTTGAGTCAAATATAAGTGAAAGATAATAAATTTATTTTCGAACTCATTCGTATTTTTTTATGTGCTCTTTTTTTTCATTCGCTCATGACTTATTCAAATCAAATCGACAAATTGATATTTTACTCAATATTTCTTAACTAAAAATTATATTGAAAAATAAAAGCATATTTTCTATAAAAATATAAATTTTTCAAATTTATTGTTGTTCCAAAATATCGATGCTAAGACGCATGAGGAAAACTGTCTGAAAATCCGAGTGATTCACCTATAATTTTATCGCCAAGGGACTCTCTGGCATATTTGCCTAGTGCGATAAGCCAGTAGATCGAGTTTAACCAGTAATGGTGAAAGTTTGTAAAAAGAATTCGCATATGATAGCGATTAATAGCATAAATAAATAGCTAAGTATTTTTGGCTAAGCTTGCTTCACTAGCTATTATTATGATGGTAAAAACCGAAGGAGACAAGTGCAATTTTAGCATCAGCCATATTTTTTTAATAGTAGAATTAGTTCCACAGAAGTCTGGAGACGATAATCTGAGCGACAATCACGGTACCATAGTTCAAAAACGAGTAAAAATTGAAGATTGCCAGAACAACGGTACCACAAATTCTATTTAGTTCACTTTCCTTATAAAAAAAAAAAAAATAAAATCAGAATCAGAATTTTTATTTGAACGATAAAATTAATCTCCAGTCACTAGAAAGAATTACGCTTATAAGACAGAGATGGTTGGTTGTTGTTGATTTATTTTTCTATTGCTTCTTATACAATTAAATTATTATAGAATAAAAGATTAATTAGAGGAAATTATTTACAACAAAAGAAATCTCGAATAAGCAATTTAAAACAAATGGTACCCAAGTGTTACTCCTTATTTTAGCAATTCAACTATTATTTTAACTAACGATGAACGAATTATTCATGAAAATATTAAATAACCTGTTCAGGTTGTTGATTATTTAAGCGAAATCGTCGCGCTAATTCTTTCAAATGTTTCATTTTAGTAGCTCCACAAGAAATATAAATAACAATAATAAATAATCGAAGGTAATAGAACTGATAACAATCACTGCTATCACAATGAAAATGAATAATTTCAGAATAAATATATTATAAATGTAAAAAGATTTTTTTTTCAACCAACTAGGCGGGAATATCTATTGTCGATCTTTTTAAGTTAAATTTATATTAGTATTTCTACTTTTTTATAAAATAAGCGATAAATAAAGCTATACGATCGTTTATAACAAATCCAATTTTCTTAATGCAATTTTATAAAGTATAATTGAGAAAAAATTTTTTTCAAAATATTATCATTGAGAAA